GCAATGAACACGAGAGGGCAGGTGTCTCCACAGCATACAGTTTCATTCCTTTGGCTATATACTCAGTAGCAAGGCTACTGTATTGTACAGCAGTACTCTTTTTAATTTTGGGGGAAAACTTCCATTCTATGGGCTGCAGTAATTTACATTCCTACCAAAAATATAAAAGGGCTCCTTTCCCCTTGCTCCATATTTGCTCAACTGCTGCTTTTTGTTATTTTAGTGATAGCCATTCTAAAAGACGTGCAGAAATATCTCCCAAAGTTTTGAAGTTTTAATTTGTGTTCAGTTAGTAACGCTGGGCATTTTTTCATTCGTCTCTTAACCATTTGCATGTATTCTTGTGAGAAACTTATAAGCTGACTCCTTCTCATTTTTAAAGCTGGATTATTTTGTTTTCTTGTAACTGAACTGAGTTCACTGTACTCATACTTTGGATATTATCCCCTTATCAGATGTATGATTTGTAAAAAAATTTTCCCCTTCCCTTAACTGTCTTTACTCTGTCAACTGTGTCCTTTGCTGTACAGAAACATTTGCCTTGATGCAATCTCTTCTGTTTATTTTTGCTTTTATTACAGTGCACTTCTGAAGTTCTATAAAAAAAAAAAAATCACTGCTCAGAACAATGTCAAAAAGCTTTTTCTTTCCCCCTGTCCATTCTGGACTACTCTGAAGGAAGTCACTATACACAGCTAACACTTAAAGGATGGACAGTTACCCACTCAAGGGTGGATTATTTGCATAATCCTTGCAATTCTACATGAAAGACGGGCCCAGCATGTTCTTTTATAGGTGGATCCTAGCTTTGTTGTTGAATTTGTAGAACCTTAGGCCTAGAACCTCACCTAGAGGGTGAGGGGCCCAGCACATGTGATATGAAAGTAGAGGGGAAGGAAACAGGGAATAAAGCAGAGATGGGGACAGAGGAACACGGAGAGGAGTGGAGGAGGATAACTAAAACTAAGGCTGTACAAAGAACCCCTATGGAGACCCACTACTTTGTAAGGTATCTTAAAAAAATTATACATACATATATACATATATATGTATATATGTATGTATATTTTTTGGTCTTTTTGAGACCGGGTCTCCCTGTAGCCCCAGCTGGCCTGGATTCACTATGGAGACCAGGCTGGCCTCAAACTCAGAGATCTGCCTGCCTCTGCCTCCTGAGTGCTGGGATTAAAGTCGAGCACCACCACACCTGGCCAAAAAGGAGTTTGAACACAGGTACCCTACATAGGTGAACAATACTTCCCCCAGAAGATATAGGTTATTAAATGAAAATCTCAGTGCCAAGCATGGAATGAGTTATTGGTCAGAGAGGCCTCAGAGGCCCTAAAAGTACACAAGCTATTACCATGGCTCTTGACTGCCCACAGGACAAAGACGGTAAGACCCTAACTGCTCAAGACACAATATACCTTGGTTGCAGGAATTGAGAAATCAAGCAGGAACTAACCCGAAAACATCCTCCCTGATGGCTATCTTTCAGAGTGCTTGGAAGGTGCTATGCAGGCTTCTGGGGGCTGGGGGGAGGCATCAATGGTCTTACCCAGAACAAACACTGCATACTACAATGCTGACATGTCAGGCAAGATGTGCCTATTGGTGCAATAGTGGCCTAAGGGTTATGGAGTAACCACCTTTAGAATGGATTTGAGGTCTGTTCCACAGGAAGGAATTCATGCCTGTTAACTGTAAACCTGGTCAAAGGCACATGGCTAGGGCCGTCATAGGCACTAGGGAGGAGCCTACTACTACTGTCTGGCTAAACAGACATGTTATCAAACTGCCTTCTAAATATTTGTTTATATACATAAATTAGCATTACCCTCAACCTTGGTCAGAGAAGCAACGCTTAGTGTCAGCACTTAATACAGAGACTCATAACTGGTCAAAGTGCTGCGAACATGATTACTGAGTGCTCAGTCTGAAATGGGTCAACTATCTCAATCCTTCCACCCCAGGCTCAAGGAACCCTGAGGAAGTAGGGAGACTGTAAGAGCAAGAGGATGGACAAAGTGCTGTGAAATACTGTCCTCTAGATACAACATGGCCATTGTACTCATGAACTCACTGCAGGTATGGTCACCTGCACAAGATCAGCACAAGATCAAGCCAACAAGATCATTCAACAACAGAGGGCTACAAAAAAAAAAGAGAGAGAAAGAGAGAGGATGTGAAAGGGGAAAGAGGATAAGAGGATGTGTTAGGGTACCTGGAGTTGAAGGGGGAAGGCAGGGGTAGATATGATCAAGACACATTGTTTACATATATGATACTGTCAATCAATACAAAGATATTCTATTTTTTAAAAAATTTTAAAAGATTTGTGCATTGTCTCCTTTTTTATTTTTTTCTATCAGTATGGACTCAGGATATTTGTCTTATTTTTATTAAGTTTATATTACATGTATTTATGCTTAGTCTATTTCATATATACACTATATTTACATGCATTTCCATTAAATTTTGGTTTCTAACCTAATAGTATGCTTTCTAGTTTCTCAGTTGGTTCCAGCTTACACTGGAGATGTGGCTTGGTGGCAGAGCACTGCTTGAGCATGGCCCTCAGTTCAATCTCTAGCACCTCAAAATAAACAAGCTAACTAATTACTTAAAGCCAGCTCCAGCTTGTCCACGGGGAGCTCTCTAGGTTGGCTCTATGTTCCTTTCACGTCTCCCATGACTATGAGGGGGCAACAGGGTGTGCATGTACATGGTTAGTACTTTTTTGCTTCCTGGCACTAGGAGACAGGTTTATCTTATTTCATACCTGCTCCATTCATAGAATCAAGTCATGTCTACTTCACGTCATTGTAAAATAGTATAAGAAACCACCATGTAAGGGCCAGCAAAATGGCTCATGGAGAAAAAGGGTGCTTGTCACCAAGCATGACTGAGTTCAACCACTGGGACCCAAATGGTAGGAGGACAGAACTGACCCAGTAACTGTCCCCTAACTTCCACATGCCACAGTATATATACACCCACACAAATGTAATTCTTAAAACAGAGAAACGGGGGCTGGAAAGATGGTTCAGCAGTTAAGAGCACTGGCTGCTCTTGTAAAGGACTTGGGTTTGATTACCAGCACCCACACAGCAGCTAACAACCATTCATAACTACAGTTCCAGGGGATCTGATGCTCTCTTCTGGTCTCCATGGACACTGCATGTACATGGTGCACTTGCATACATGCAGGCATGACACTCATACAGCAAAAATAAAAATAAATTTAAAAAAATTTAAAGAAGCCAAGTCATATAAATATCTTTTATTGTATAAGCTTCCTAAATATGTAATTTACATACACATGGATGTGTATATAGAGACTATGATTAGTTACTATAGTCACCTCAGAAGCCATCAATTACTAAATAAAAAGCCCAATGCCAGAGACCCCCCTCAAACAATAAAAGCAGTAGCCATTGTTCTTGGTTGCCCACCATAACTTGATAGTGAAGACCCTATTGCTGTAGCCACCATACACATTGGTCACAGAACACAGAGAAATCAAGTGGGTACAGACCAGGACCCTTCCTCCCTGCTGGCTAGATCTCAGGGTATGGTAAGGGGAAAAGTTAACAGTCTTACTCAGCTGTGAATTGCCTGAATTGCAATAATGACTGCCATAGCAGATATGTCCATGGGTGAAATAGTGGTATGAATGTTATGGGGCTAACCAACTACGTCCTGATTGGATTGAAGGATCACTCCACTGTTGATACTGCAAAGCTGGTCAAGTATCCATGACTGGGGAGCTCACAAGCCCCAGAGATAAATATATGTGGGAGTCTGAATGAGAATGTTCCCCATAGGCTCCAAATATCTGTACACTTGGTCCCCAGTTTGAGGCACTGTTTGAGGAGGGTCATGGAACCTTTAGGAGGTTTGGCCATGCTGGAGGAAGCACATCACTGGGAGCAGGCTTTGAGAGTTAAGCCTTGCTGGATTTCCAGTCTCTCCCTTTGTTTCCTGTGCCTGCCTGAAGATAGGATCACTCTGCTCTCTGCTCCAGCCACCTCCTTCCACCATGCCTCCCTGTCATAATGGACTCTAACTCTCTGGAACTGCAAGCTCAAATAAACTCTTCCTTTTATAAGTTCTCTTGGTCGTGGTATTTTATCACAGCAACAGAAAAGTAATACAACCTACTACCCCTATTTTGATAAATAGATATAATATCAAAAAGTCCTCTAAATTCATACCTCTTTGCCCATAGATTAAGGCAACTCTGAGACCTTATCAGAGACGTTTCTTTGTGTGATGGACAATGGTTAAAGCAAAAACTCACAACTGGTCAAAGTGCGGAGAATAAGTGACTGTAGAGTGCTCAGCCACAAATAGGACATCTTTATCACACACCTCCTCCCAAAGGCTCAGGGACCATCATGGAAGGGGAGCCACAAAAATTTTATGAGCCAGAGGTCAGGAGGGACCCGAACAAAGTAGTGTCTTCTGGACATAACAGGACTGCTGCACTCATGAACTCACAGCAGTTGTGGTTGCTTGGAAATGATTAAGTCAATCAATATCCTGACACGGAGTGGGAAGGGGTTTGTGAGCCCCCACCTCTAACTGAGGAACTATGGGCAGCTGATAGCTTCGGGAGAAGGGAGAATCCATCTTCTTTAAGGGTATGGTTCCTGGTAGGTGGACTATGCTCCAGTGGATGGCCCCACAGCCAGAAGTGTATGGACAACACAAACTGGAGTAGATGGGTTATTTATTTATTTTTTTTAAAGGTGTTAGGGAGGCAGGGGTGGATTTGGAAGGAATTAAAGGGAGGAGCTGAGGTGAATATGATCAAAATACATTGTATGAAATTCTCAAAGAATTAAAATTTTGCCAGGTAATTAAAATTTTGAAATAAAAGAAAAAGAAACATCTGAGCACTCAGTCTTAACTGACTTTTTTTTTAAATAATAAGTATGTTTTTATTTCTCCCATAACTTTTAAACGGTGAACATCCTGTGATTTAGTGACAGTCTTTACTTCCAAGTAACTTCTTCATTGGGCCTTAGCTCCCTTTTAAACAGCATGCTGTTATTCTGGAAGGCAGTTAGCTTTTCATCATTCCTTTTATCTAGATAACAGCCAATGACAAATCCCATAGGGACAAGTATATGAACCCAGAGGTCACGCACAAGCTGAAGCAAGTTTGTCATGACTGTGGCCCAGGCACTGAGCTGACCCGCAACCAAGGGCAGAGGCAGGAATTAACTGACTTTTAATATATGTCACTTAAAAATTTCTTCATGAGGAGCTGAAGAAATGGCTCAGTGGTTAAGAGCACTGGCTGCTCTTATAGAAGACCAAGGTTCTGTTCCTAGCACCCACATGGTGGCTAACAATCATCAGTAACTCCAGTTCCAGGGGATCCAATGCCCTCCTCTGGCCTCCACAGGCACTGCACAACATGGGTACACTCACATACACGCAGGCAAATCACATATACATTAAATAAATAAATAAATAAATAAATAAATTAATTAATTAATTAATTTTTCTAAATTCCAACATGAGGATCAGTGAGATGGCTCAGCAGTTAAAGGCACTTCCTATCTGAGCCTGAGGACCTGAGTTTGATCTCCAGGGTTCACACAGTCCAAAGACAGAAAAGATTCCCACAAACTGTCCTCTGACCTCCACATGTGGCACACATGCACCCAACATCTACACATGTACACACACTAATGAACAGATGTAATCAAATTTCTTTTTTAAATGTCTGCAGGAGGCCACTGCTGCCTGAGGGGAAAAAAGGTTCTGCACTGTGTCCTTAGTATACAGTCACACCTGCTTCCCGAGTATCTTTACTCTGCTATGTGCACAACAAATCATGAAGAGGATACTGGTATTCAAACTATCATCTGACTGACCACCTTTCAGATTTCAGATGACCAGTCAATGCTAAAATTAAATTCTTCCAGGGTTGTTTTCTTTCTTCCTCCTGTTGTTGGTAGAGAAGTAGTTTCACATTAAATGTTACCTGTTTACTATTCTAGGACATTAGGTATCCTTCCTATTACTATAAGATATTTCCTCTGTGACTTAAAATTTTCTTCAATGACTTGAGCTAAAGAAAAACACAAATATTCAACTCCAACTTTGAAATACAGGTGCAATTTCCTATTGGGTTCGCAAACTAGTTTTTCTTTTTTGAAAATAAGTTAATGAACCAAATACAAGGGCAGAGCCTAGGGATTGTCAGGCACTGGGGGCACCTGGTAGGAAGCAAACAGATTTCTAGAGATAAGTAAACTGCACAGATCAGAGCTACCCCCATGTAGCACTGTAGCATGGGACTGTCTTCCCATTGTCAAACTACGGACAGATGCCTTCTTCCCAATTTTAGTTGCATCCACTTGCTTAGGATCATCACAAACCTGACTGCTGACACTCAGCAAGAAAGAAAGGGCTGGGAGAGTCAGCCACACCTCCCAACTAACCAGTCAGCCCTAGTGGCACAAGGGGGAGGGACTAAGGGTACTGAAGCCTAGGAAGCCCTTAGGGAGACGTTCTCTCACCATTTTGTGCACCTGTGAGGAGGTCGCATATACGCTAGGATAGAGACCTTCCAATGCAGTCTTAGGGGGGCACACCCATACTCTTCATCCACTGCTCTGTAAGACCCCAGAAGGAATTTTAGCAACAATTGGCGCGGTCAGGCAAGATATGAGAAAACCAAGGATGATGAGTGTGGGAAGAGCAATGGTGCTGTCTCTGATATGGGGAAGGAGACCAACGACTGAAAGGAAGCTGGGTGAGGGGAGAGAATTGGGAGAAGAAATGTTAACTTGGTGGGCCATCTCCACAGGACTGATGGGGGTAGTGGCAGTGGAACGGATCATGCAGTGCACAGTGAGATATGTAACTAGGGTGAAGCCACCTAAGCAGATGACATCAGTGGGGGAAATTTCGGGACGGTAGTCCTCTTGTAGGTGGTATAGAGTGGCATACCTGCTTGACCGGTGGGGTCTGCCACATGAGTATAGAGGTGCCTTGAGGATAGCAGAAGGTCTAGGGCAAACTTTACAAGTCCTGAGAGTGGCGCACCAAGGGCAGAAGTATCAGCAAGCAGCTACAGAGGCAGCCTGGGTAATAAGAGATCTGCCCCAGGCAGAGGTGGTAACCCGGAGGGAGACTGAAGGTGTGAGAGAGGAATTAGAGTGAGAAAGGGCTATGAGGCTAGCCTCTTCAGTATTGGCCTCTGACACTGCCGATAAATTGTGTAAAAGGGAAAAAGAGATAGAGGTGTTAGCCTACCTTTTTTTTTATAGCTAGGGGGCCAGAAAGGGAAGAAAGCCCAGATCAGACCAATAGTTACAAAGCTCATCCTGGGACACCCAAAACCTGGAACCCATGGGAGAAGGCAGATAGTGATGAGGAAGGGAGTGGCCTAGAAACAGCTAAGGATGCCCCTCAGGTTTGACCTTTAATACAAAGAAAGGAAAAATCCATGTTTCAGCATGCTGATGGAGGCCTTAACAATGGTCCAGTGCCAGAGACTATAGCAATCAGAGAATGCTCAGCACTAGAGCTATTGAGAGTGGGCAAGACTTCAAACAAGCAATGAAGGAGTCCCTCATCAACTGGCTTGTGAGGATATGGGATGGGATATGGAAGCAGATAATATTAGTTTAAGTGCTGAAGAAGCATTAAATCTGAGCAATATAACCACCCATCCCTCCTTGAGACATAGGCTGCATAACCTGAGGCAGTACAGGGGGAATCAGTCCCTGATGGACTGGCTTATATGAGCCATTAGAGATACTCGGTCATCGGCAGTGGAGATTTCCGTGGATATCAGGGGCTGGAGGACAACAGAAGAGGGACGGGCACTACTGAGAGAAGTAGGTGTGAGGGAAATCAATGTATGGTGCCCAGTTCACTGGACTAGATAGGACTGTGGTCACCAGAAATTTAAAGAAGAACTTGACTGAGCAAGGACCCCCGATATTGGTACGGACCTTAGTGGCTTTGCTGAGTCTCTCAGTGGGGCAAGATCTCTATGAAGTAGGAGAGGCTATGATAGATCTAAGTGACTTAGACAAGCATGTAAAATGTATCTGTAAAATAGTAGAGCAACTCATAAGAGATATTAAAAAAAGACAAAGCAGAGAAAGAGGTCCGTTGGGTTATTAGAAGGTAAATGTGGCAAGATTTGTGTTGAGCCCAAGTTCCTAAAGAAAAAATTGACAAAAAGCCGAATTCTGTGCTAAGGTAAAACCTGAGGAACAGTTCACAAAAGGCATCCACAATAAAACAATATGGGTACAGAAGACAAAAACTATCCCAGGGTGGATAATGATTCCCACAGATTAAATGGGGTACATTTCTCTCTTGTGAAAGGTTATGCTAGGGGTGGAGACAGTTTTCCCAGCCTAGGCCTCCCCCAGCAGCCAGGGATGGTCAATGGAGAGACAACAGGTGTGGCTACAGCCAGAAGTCATCATACACAGGGCCTACCTGGCCCAGGGAACCAACAGGTGCAGCAAGGGCCAGAGGGGCCCTATTTTTCCTTAGCCCTGTGAAGGGTCAGGGAGCTGGAACTAGCCCAAATGAGTTTATCGAGGATAAAGAAATGCAAGAGGGTTCCATGTAAAAACTCCAGGATAATGATTGGCTCCAGGAAAATGACTAAAGATAGTAAAACGATAACAGCCTCTTAGTACCCAACATGGATATGTTGAGAAAACAATTGATACAAACAGATAAAATTTTTCCATACTGTGTTAGACTTTGTTTATGTTTGAATTAGTATACAGTTATGTATGAGTGTTTTGCAAATATGAAACCCATTTGAGAGATAGCAAATACACATGAAGAAACAAGGATGGAAAATAAATTCACAAAGAGTGTAAGGGCCAGGTATAACTGTGAAATTCTTGGGAGCTTATGGTCAGGTAAGGCACAAGTGATATCCACCAGGATGGTTGGGAAAAGTCTACAACAGCCTGGGTCTATAGACACCAAAGAGTAAACAGATTTCTTACAATTGTTAAATGAAAATTCCAGTACCAGGGTTGGTCCCCTATAAGGTGTTGGCCAGGGAGGCCCTGAGGCCCCCAAAATGATAAAGGCTAAATGATAAACCACACACATACACACACACTTTTCACGCCTCCCAGAAGGAATTTTAGCAACGAACACACACTGGGCAACCTCTTACCTCAGATTTCAGCAGTCCGTCTTTGGTAAACATTGGTTGCACATCAGAAGTAGCCAGTAAGACCCTATTGCTGAAGACACTGAATAACTTGAGTGCAGGAAAGGGAGATCAAGCTGGGACTAAGCTGGAAACTCCCTGCCACCTGACGGCTGGTGGTCACAGTGCCAGGAGGTGCTATGCAGAATTGTTAGAGAAAATGGTCCCCAAAATTCTGCAAATGCCGCCCCACCCCTGTGTGCTGTGCTATCTACATGCCAAGCAAGATGTGCCTACTGGTGCAATAGTGTCTTGACCAGTTTATATACAACTGACAAATTTCCAATTGAATTTAAGGCCCACTCCTTAGGGAGGAACACACATCTAGTACTGCAAGTCAGGCCAACCCCTGGTGGCAAAAGTAGTTTTAGGCCCCAATGGGGAAGCCACTGCAATTGTTTTGTTAGATGGATGTGATGCACCTGCTAAGGCATCTTCCAAGCCTTTGAGTTTACGCCCATTGATTAGGTTATTATAGCAGTCAGTGTTCATTTCGAAGTTCCTGCTTCTTTTCATTTGTGTTTTTATAGTAGGAGGAATACCACCAAGATGGGCCAACAGCCACACCTTGGAAAATGATGATCAAAAGGCCCAAGAGTTCATTATCTCACCACGGTGGAGGGAGGATTGTCCTACATCTATGTGACCCCCTCCAAGGTTCAGGGACTCTTGCAGAAGAGGATGGGGGAAAGAATGTAGAGCCAGAGGAAGGGGTGGAGTAGAGCATGGGATTGTCCTCCGAATGTCAAGCCATAGACAGACCTTCCCAAGCTTGGGGATACCCGTTTGCTTAGGATCATCGCACACCTGACTGTTGATACTCTGCTGGGAGAGCCAGCCACACCTCCCAACCAACCAGTCAGCCCTAGTGGCACAAAGGGGAGGGACTAAGGGTACCGAAGCCGAGGAAGCCCTTAGGGAGATGCTCTCTCACCATTTTGTGCAGCTGGGATGGAG